AAAAAGAATTTATTTTTCAAATATTTAACCAACCAGCTGACCAAGCCTTGGTCCTTCAGCTTATCTGTGTTTTCTCTCTTTACTTGAAAGATAGCAATATCACTGTTTCTTCAGGAAATGTTAAGTCATTGAAATTTCATAGAATTCAGTCAATATCATCAGTATAGCTGATCTAGTAGTGACTCCAGTCTGTGAGCTTCTACCATGGCCAGCAGAGGGAGCTGTAGACTGGACTCTTGTCTTTGGCTGTGACAATCAGAGGAGAGAAGTCCGCCTCACTCAGGTTTCCTTCAGAGGAAATGTGCAGCTGGTTGATGTGGTTCAGACTGAGTCTTCACCTCCTGTTTTAACAGAACATGCACCAGCTCTTGAATACATCTTGAGTAGCCCTTAACAGCTGCTGAGTCCACAGGTTGACACTTCTGCTGCAGTCTTTGCAGGAAGCCAGGATGTCTGCCTTCTCCAGTTTTGAGTCTGGCTGCTGTTTGAGGAGCTCAGAACCCAGGAGAGACTTGAGTTGTTCAATACTGCTGTTGATTCTCTTTCTGTGGATCTTCTCCACCAGAGGCTTTCTGAGCTGCAAGAAGAAGAACAAAGTCATTAATAAAACAGTTCTGGTGCATAGGTTTAGTGTTATTAAACATCATCTTTAATGAATAATGAATGACATTCTGATAATATCCAATTTACCTTATGATTCAGAGTCACATGGTCCTGAGAATTAGTCATTACTGGAGAGACTGTAGCTGCCATGGCTGGATCTCTGTGCTGTAGAGGTCTCTGTAGAGAGACTCTGATCTCTGCTGCCTTCATCCCTCCTATTTATACTCACACATCACCATATGAATGTGTGGGCCTTGGTCTGACTGGAGTTTCCCACAGTCTTGACCAAGTAGAGTGCCGGACATAAGAGGAAAGAAATCTGGTCTCCCACATGTGCGCTGGTCATATTAGTAGGGGACAATAGTTTGATTTCAGGTGACCGGTGGTGGACTGAAGTGGAGATGGAGTAAAAGACTCAGAGAGCTGTGTGCAGATAATAGAAAACTGTGACCTTGTAGAGAATACTAATACACTGCCTTGATGCTGAGATCAATGACTTTGACTGGGCACACACTCATCATCTTGATACACTTTCTGTATGAATTTGTGAGCAGGAAGTTGCTGTCAGATTCCCACAGTATTGAATGATAGAATAGAATTAGAATAGAATTCAACTTTATTGTCATTGCACATGCACAGGTACAGGGCAACGAAATGCAGTTTGCATCCATCCAGAAGTGCTTTAGTGATATAGATATATTACAATATATATTAGCAATAATATAGATATGTGAGTATATTACAGAAATGGGTCTATTATGGTATGTTATAATGTACACGGTATGAAGTATGTTGTGAATATTCTATAACTATAAGTATGTACAGGCTGTAGTGAGTACAAGCTATGTACAGGATATGAACAGGATATAAATATGAAAAACTATACAGAATATGAAATAAATAACTTTACAGAAATCTGAGATATACAGCTATACAGAAATGGGAACTATGCAAGTTGTAAACAGTTGTAGGGTTAAATGATGATGTCAGTGCACTACAAAGGTCTTTAAATGGTTACTGAGCTCTAACAGAGGCAGAAATTGACATCACCACCATTCTGGGATCCATCGTTTCAGTTTACATTTTGCAACTGGGTGAAGTTAGAACATCTAATTATCATGAAACCTTTATGCTGTCGGATGCTGATGAACGTCATATGTTTTCATGAAGGGGGAGGTTGAGGCAGCTGTTTTTGAAAGTGTGCCAAATCCCCCAGGAAAATAGTCAGGCACCGGAGTGGTTAAGGATGCAAATCAACTTGAATTTTGTCCTTAGAGCTTTCTATGCTCACTACATTGAGTTTAGCATGTTACATTGTTACATAACTGACATATTATGACTCAACTCATCTTAAATTTGCAAGTAAATATTTTTCTTGTTTAGCAGCGTTGATTTACACCAGATTTTCTACCAAGCTCACTGATTTGACAAATATAGCTTTCCTTAAGTGTGATCATATTCATTTTAATCTTTCTATTAAGGTCAAAGGTCTCGTGTATTGTCCCTCTGGGGATCTGACCGGGACTCTTCTGTGCTTTCTCACAGTCTGTCCCTTTACCACTTTTACTGGTGGATCACTACCTTGTGTCTCATTATGTGTCACATTAATCTGGGAACACCTTTTGTTTCCTTAAAATTTCCATAACTTTCTCCTCAATACTTTAACAATAGAGCAAGAAGAACTGTGTCAGTTCATCAGATCTCTTTATGTGCACACAACAGTCAATCTTCATCCTCTAATAAGTCTTTTCTTAAAAAAAAAACAAAAAAAAACAAAAACAAATTAAAAGAGGACATGTGAGCCTAAATGCAAAGGACTAGATGTGTTTGTGTGTATTCAAAGGAATTGCACAAACAGGGAAGGTAGGATGTGTTGGTACATCACATCAGTATGTTTTCTCACTTCACTCAAAAATATCAGAGCAACTGTCATCTCTACATAAAGATTACGAGGTTCATCATCAGCGTTACTTAAACTGTTAAAAATGACATTATCTCCACTTTCTACCAAAGCTGCCTAATCATCGGCGTAACTTTGTGCTGAACACTGGGGGGGGGGGGGGGGGGGGGGGGGGGGGTGTCAAGATCTCTGTCTAAATAAATAAATAAACCTGGGTAAATTCCCAGATGCTTTAACATGCAACTAGTTTGCTGGTAATACCTGGAGTGAGTAAAGAAAATCAACAGCCTATTTATGCAGGATAATTCATAATTTTATTGGGGGGGGGGGGTTATATTGGTTGGGTCTGATTATTGGGGGGGTCATGGGGGGGATCTATTGGCTAGCATTTGTTCTTCATTCCTGGATGAATAACTGCCTGTGAGAAACGTATTGCCTAACACAACCTCAAACCTCTACACCAGGGGTCTCAAACTAGTGGCCCACATCACCCCTACTTCTTCACGTATATTGACGTGAAGAAATATAATGCAATTTGGCCCTTGAAGTTACTTTTTTTGTTAGGGAAGATTTGTTTGTTGTTGAGTGCAATGTTAAAATAAGTTCTTTAAAAAGAAAAATCTTATTTAATATGAAGGCAATATGAGCAGAGAGTACAAACGTTAGGGATTGGCTGTTGTAGCTCAGTGAGTTATTTGTAAAGAAAACAGTTTTCACTAATGTGTACACTTATGTCTGCATTTCTTTTTGTTAAATACAAACAAAATTGCGATGTCACGTGTCTGGCCAGAAAGAGAGTACCAGTTTATCTATTTGGTTGTTCAGTTAAAAGCTTCAGTTAGTTAAAAGTGAGGGAAAAAAATGTGTTCACGTTTGCAGTTTCAGAAATATTTGTGGGTGTTTTCTTGTTTGTTTGTAGTACTTAAAGGCTAAAGTGGCTCTCGTATGAGATGACATTGCCGGCAGTGGCCCACAGCTCCTTTGAGTTTGAGACCCCTGCTCTACACCAGTGTCTCCTACCCACTGTGCCGCGCCACATAGGTGTGCCGTGAGAAATGATCAGGTGTGCCGTGGAAGATTATCTGGTTCCACCTGATTACTACTAAGTGACCGTGTACAACTACATTAAATGGGTTGCCAGCTGCCAGTAAAACAGAAGAAGACGAAGTAGAAATTATATAATAGTCATGCTGCAAGTGAGACAACACAGCGAGTAATAACAATAGATAAATATATTTGAAAAGAAAAAGTAGTCAATATGACGTGGGTCCTGGAGAAAGTTCCGACCCAGATGAAGGCCCTAGCATGTGTAGTGGTCAAAAGAAAGCAAAAACGGTAAACGGAAAAATTATCAACATACACTTTGTAACATTTTTGTTTGGTGGTGCGCCATGTGATTTTCTAATGTAAAATATGAGCTGTGGCTTCAAAAGTTTGGGAAACACTGCTCTACATTATCTGCCAATTGTTGTTTCTTAAGAAACTACTTTGAACACTAATTCAGAAAAAAAAAACATCCAAAAACGATGCTTATCTATACATACAGAAGAAAAAAAGTCAGAGGATTTGATTTTAGTGATATCCAAAAACAACATCTCATTTTGTCTGATATTAAAACCAGCCTGTAGCAGTTGCCCACGTCCTCCAGAGGGAGCTGTTGATCGGATTCTTGTCTTTGGAGATGCTGGCCTGAGCTGTGGAGCTTACAGGAGAGAGAAGTCAGCCTAGATTGATACAGCCAAAGCACTGGTCCCAAAGAGACTATTTCATTTTATCTGGTTATGATATTTTACATGTTTCATTTAGCAAAGTACATGATGGTAAAAACTGAATTAATGTACATCACAAAAAAGAAACTTATTTACATGATGTTATAGTAAGTGTAGCAATACAGTAATAAATGACTACATGCCTATAGTCTTTTTAAAGTGGACAGTTATCAACAATAGCGAGCATCATCAGTTTTTTACATAAAGTTTAAGTCAGTGTCGTTATAATATAAACACGCACCAATGTAAGACTATTCTAAAACAGATGGGCAGGATTTCCTTTTTACATCCAATTCTATCTTAACCTTGGTTCAGAAATTTTAGATGTCTTAACCTTTTGTCTCAGCTGGACTCTTACTTAGTTTAAGAGTCCTTACTTTTCATTGTTTTTACTTATGGATTAATGCAGCATTAACTAATGGTGATCTGATTGGTTGCAATGTGGGACCTCTTGAGTTATCCTTTAAAACACCTGAAGCTGAAATGGCTTTATTTATTTTAATTCAAATATTGTCAAAGACACATTGAAAGCCGAGTTTTCTAGAGTAGTAGTGATAAAGGTGATATAAGACTGAATTGCAGCAATCTGTTGAAAATGGCTAGGCTCAAAAAACCCTCACCTGTTCAAAACAGCTGTGTACAGACAGAAGTTTATTGCTTGTGTCTGACTGGCAACAAAAGTTAAGTCTTGAATAAAAGCACAAAACAACAATTTCATAGCTAATTAAAATCTCTTTATTACAATCACATGTACATCATTATATTCCAAAAAGCTTGCCGTAGTGAAAAGTACCCTTGCACAGACAGATGGATGCGGTGTTGCAAGCTGGATGGAAGTATTGTCAGATGGAGTAAAACAAGTATTGAGATCCCCCAGCAGCAAGTATCTCCGCTCCAGTGTGCTTTTAATTTCACATCACATGAGGACAGCAGCGCTATTTTCAGCCCTCTGTGTCCTTGTGTAACGTAAGCAAAGAGAATGAGGGGGGTGGGTGAGAAGGAAAATTTCTCTCTTCGTCATCCATTATTCAGAGTGTTTGAGTCACAGCTGAAAGAGGTAAAACGGGGAAATAAACAGGGTGCAAGGTTGATTTCATGTCTTTCCTCACTGAATGCTTAACAGGTTTCAAACTGTTTGAATTTTCTTTAAAAAAAAAAAAAAAGATTTTGTCTGTCTTCTTCCGAGTGAGATTAATTAATTAGAAAGCAGCAATTTCTGTGAAGTGCAGGATCCTCTTAGTTTAGCACAAAAACTGGAACCTTCAGCTGACATCTTTTTATACAACTTATGGCTATTAGTGTCTTAGCATAAGGTTGAATACTATTTTTAATATTTTAAACGCCAAAAAAATCATTTAATTTTAAAATTCTTTTTTTTACAGCACTTTGATAATGAATTAAGATAATCCTGTTGTGGGTGTTCTTTGTGTTAGTTTCTGGAAATGTGAAAATAATAATAATAATAATGTAATGAAGCAGATTTTACAGCAAAAGAAACAAAGTACAATGATTTAAACCTATACACTGAAACTCTGATTTAGCAGAAGTTTACACTGTACTCACAATCTGCAGATTTTGATTTAATTTGAGATAAATGAAATGAAGCAGACCCAAATAATACAGAGTAAACCTGGTTGTTGTGGACCCTGGCTGTCTGAATTCCCTGGGCATTTGCTAAACTTGCCCAATTGCTAATCCAGCCATGACTGAACTGTGTGCAAATGCAGCACAGTACATCGCATCACGAAACAGGAGAAGCTTGTTTCAAAATTCACAAGATAGAGGATATTAATCAGCTGTTATGTCTCCATTTTACTTTTTCACAGGGCTATTTTTTCCGTGTTACCGTCTATCTAGTTTTGCTTCATGAGGAATTTAATAACAAGTTCTAAAATAAGTAGTCTATGAGTTTCCTGCCTTTAAGTCTTTCGCTTTTAAAACACAGCAAAACTGTAATTTCTCCTTTTTTCATTTCATATTCACAGATTGATAACATTGAGATTTAAGTCATACAACCTTTGTTTCAAGCTTCATGGAGCTTCACAGTAAAAGGGTCTGGAACTGACTATCAGATAAAACTGATATATATCTGAAACATCTCACTCTGAAGAAGACAGAAAACATTTGTCTGTATTGTCTGTGTCACTTTTAAGCATTACAGTGTTTGTTATCTTACTCATAATTCATGGAAGTCACATTTAACATTCAGACCAAAATGAGCCACTATCCATGAATGCTGATAATGTGGATGTGAGTTTTAAGCATACTAATACTACAGTGTTCATCTCTGTGCTGTATATACAGCCTCCGTAACACAGCTATAAACCTACAGAATCACATCATAAACCACTGGAGGCGTCTGATGGCATTTTCATGTCCTGTTACCGACTCAGTCCTCAAACGCACCATCTGACAAAATCAATATCTACATGTCTTAATGACACAAAACAACAGTAAAATTCAATTGATCCATTTAAAGAGACAATAATATTCACATTTTGTGTTCACTTCTTGAAAACAGTAAATCAAGGTTTAACCAGCTTTTTAACTAAAGTAGCTCGGAAAGATTTTAAAGATCATAAAAACGGTTCACATTGGTTTTGAAACCATCACAAGAAAATATTGAAATATGTCCAACACAATCACAATAAACGATTTTTTCCTCCATAAATCACTATGTTAGTTTATAAAGAAAACATTAACACACACTGTCATTCTATCTACAGTCGTTCCACTGGCCTCGGTCCCTGGTACAGAAAAGTAGGGAAAACTTTTTGTATAAAAACGATGTGCAAAAAGTTGTTTTCTTAGGTCCCTCTCATGGAAAACTATGTAAAGAAATAACGTAAATATATACATAACCTTTGCTGTTGCTGTTGTAAATTCTACGACTGCTGTACACTTGTGGTGACTTGTCACTTTGTGCATCTGTTGAATCGAAAACAAGTTACTGCATTCGATGGAACCCTGACAGGTAGCGTACACAACACCGTCATTGTCATATTAAAACTAGCTTGAGGTATTATTGCACATTTTCCTGAACCGCGGACCTGGAATCAGTAAGTTTTCAGATTTACTCACGCTTCATACCAGCTTTTAGTGGAATGTCGACGCTGACTTTAGCTCTGTCTGTTCTGGGCAGACATACAGTTGTGTTCACAAATTTACATACAGTCATCATTGGCCTTAATGTCATGGTAATTCTGGGGATTGCAATGGTTTCTGTGAACTGTACTTCTTCCAGAGGGAAAGATTGTACAGTATAGGTCATTAAAAAGCAAGAATTGGGTGCACAAGTTTAAATTAAACTTCTGACCTTTAAATTCGTTGGCCTCGATCTAAACGCTAATTAAGATCTGTGAACTATGCTTAAAAGCAGGGTCCGTGCCAGGACACCAACCAATTTTAATGAACTCTACCAATTCTTTCAAGGAGAGTGGTTAAATAATCAGCCAGAATTTTGCCTGAAGCTTGTTGATGGCTACCAAAAGGGTCTGGTGGAGATGTAACCAAACATTAGTGTGGGAGCATGTGCGCTTCTGACTAAGTATGTTTATTTTTGATCCTGTGTGGATTTGAGAAATCCTAAATAAATTCAAACTTGTGCACCTAGTTCTTGTTTCTAGAGGTCAATAAAGATATATGCTTTACAATCATGTCAGTCTGGAAAAAAATAGCAGTTCAAGGCAATCATTACAAGCCCAAAACTGCTATAACATTTATGATGAGTGTAAGCAACCTTCTGACTGTAACCATATGCAGCAGCAGTCTGCAAACTTAATCTAAAGCTGTCTTGAGGTGTAACTTTTTTCTTGAAAATTCTCTCACCAAAGTCAACGCATGTAGATTTCAGTAAACATGCATAAACATTAAGTGCACAGATAGATTTGTAAACATCCAGCCAACAGTAAAGACACCAAGAACAGAGACCCATGAGCCAGGAAGGGCCAGAAATCTGATGCTGCATTCTCATCACGTCAGTAAGAAAGGAATGAAATGTTGTCATAACATCTTTGCAATATGAATGTGCCACTCAGCAGTAATGGTGTATTTTAGCTAAACACTAGCTACAACTAGTAATGTCCATTGCCATCATTTGGTCTCATCATAGAAGTGACCTATAGTTAAACGATCAAAAATAAAATACAAGGTTTGGCTTACCAGAAGGTAACAAATATGTGCAGCTCCTTCTGGCTCCTTTTTAATTATCTGAATCAATTGTATCCATCTTATTAAATTACATTAAGATGTAACTGCCAGTGGCAATGGCTTTTATTTTTATTTTATGGCTTCCCATTAGTTTTATCGTTTTTTTTATACTGGCACTTTCTTGGTTCTCTTTTCACCAAGTGGGACAAATATTCCAATCAGCTGCATGTAATTCATGGCATTAAAAATGTGACGTGAATGTAGCATAAAACTGACTCCCAAAGACTATTACAACTGATTTCACAGACTAAAGCTGTGGTCACCTGTGAAAAACCTCCATGGCAAACTCTTTACCCCCTTGATCAGCATGTTTTTACTCATGTTGCCCAAGCCAGTCAATCAGGTCACACTATTTAGCATTTCAGTTAGAAAAGCTCCCACTGACCTTTGAATTGTAAACAGTTTCTGTTAAAAAACAAAAAAGAAACCTTTAGGATTTGGCATTAAATCTCAGTTGACATTGTCTGAATTGCTACAGTTGATGGTTTCTGTAGTGCTGATAAAAAAGCATGTAATTCATCATTAGTGCGCAGCCAGGTGCATCACGTAGAACAGTATTGCTCCCCGAACGTCTTAGATTGAGGATCTAAGTGAAAACCTAAATCTCTGTAAATCTATCAGAGCTTCGGTGAAATAAATGGGGCATAAGATGGAGCATGAAAGAAATGATGCAAACAAACACACTCATCTGACCTTGTTCGTTTGTGTGTTATAACAAGCGCCATGCACTGACACAGACGTTTTGTCCAGAGTGCTATACAGTGGTCAAACACCCACACATAAAGCTATCAGTTGAGGTGGTGTACAGCAATGACAGTGAGGTTCCCTCCCATTCACACATTCATTAAAGGAACAATTCAACTTTCTGTCAGTCTTCTTGTTCTCTGTCTTCCCCAGAGACTTGAGAAAATGAGTATTAGGTTCATCATTATGCTTCAAATACAGAGATGGTGAGGACCTTGTTCATCCAAAGTCACTACACATTACTGCTGCAACAAAGGTATGAACAGCAGAGTGTGGTAAACATTGCACGCTCCATTGTATGTGCACCGGGGACAAATGCCAGTCATATGGACCCATATGTTACTATGAAAATTCACAGCTCATAATTTGGGTTTGGTTTGACATGAAATTTATGGCCATCTGTTTATCAACCATAAATTAACTCAAATCTGAAAATCCTGGACTGACCAAAAACCAGCTGAACTGGGTGAGACATAAAAGGATTATTTAGCTGTAAATACCTCATGTTGCCCTGGATCATTTTTAAAAAATACATGAATGGCTTTGCAGTGTTTAACCTGGCTTAACACAAGGACTGGAAGCAAGCTGCAGCTAGTCTGTGCTTAGCAAGGCTAAATATGTCCTGGACCTCTCTGTAAGTGACACATGTAGTTAAAACTAATATCATCGTCTCATCTGGCCTCGGAGAGACAGCACAAGAACAATTGCTAAAATGTTGTATTGTTAGCTTAATGTCACACACATTCACACGCAGAGTTGCAGTTAGACACTGTGTCCATGCAGTTAGACAGTGGTGACTGTCAGCAGGGAGCTGGGACACAGCATGTCATCCTGGTTGTCCAGCCTGGTCCCATGAGTCAGGAGCTCCTCTACTGTCGTCCAGTCATCCAACAGCTTTCTGTTCCTCATACGACTCAGCTTCCTCTGACTCAGCTCCAGGACCGTGTTGCACCTGCCTTCTGCAAAACCTCTGACTCCATTGCTGTCCAGAAGACCTCCATCATCAGCGGAGGCTCCTCCTCCTCCTCCTACCACGGGTCCTCCCCTGCTAACGACATCTCGTACAGTCCCTCTACTGGCCTGCAGCTGTTGTAGCTGCTGTTGCTGCCTCTGCTCACGGGCCAAAAGAAATTGTTCCCTCCTCTCCGTTCGACTCCAGTATCGACCCATCAGCATGTCAGTGCTGGTCTCCTCGTCGGTGCTCATCCCGCTGCGCTCATCCGCTAGCTGAGAGGCTCGATCTCTAAGCAACTGGCTCCTAGAGACTCGTGTGGTTGTGTTGGGTTTACAGTTTGGATTAAATTTTGACTGCAGACCAGAACTGTGGTTTAAACTTGAACCTGCATTAATTGGTCCTTTGTTTACATCCTGTCCAGCTGTAGCACAAGCTCCTGTGTGACCTTCCAGAGTGCTGTAGAGGCCTCTGCCACCTCCACTTCCATGAGACTGACGGCTGGCGGGTTTTGGCCATGTGTCATTGACGTCACTGGCCTGAGGAGGCAAGACAAGACTCTGGAGGTGCTGCTGCTCTCCGACTCGGCTCCTCTCAATCTCCTTCTGCCTTTCCCTTTCCATCTCCTCCTGAATCTGTGTCTCCCTCTCCCTTTCAAGCTCTTTCTCTTTTTGAATTTGCCTTTTTTGCTCCAGTTCCCTCTCTATCTCTCTGTTCCTTTCTACCAACATTGGCTCAGGCATCAAGCTTCTTTCTTGTGAGTGCCACCAGTCATGGTGCGCGAGCTGGCTGTTGGAGTTGTTGTCATAGCAACGCTCATGGTTGTTGGCACCTCTGATGTGCCCCAGAGTGGTGGCATGTTGTTGGGGTGAGAGGGCCATGCCTCCAGGGTGGGAAGCCATCACACCTGTCACTAGCTCGGCTTCCTCTGGCAAGCCTGGTGGCAAGACGTTACATGGTGCGACGCCTCCACAGTGGTGCAGGGTTGCAGCGCAGTAGGATGGGGAAGCTGGGTGGCTGGCTCGTCGACGGTACTCTTGTGGAGGTGGCCGATGGTGCAATGTTCTGCTTCTCCTCAGCATCCCAACTGAGCTTGACCCCTGGTGGTGCTGCACTGGCACTAGTGGTCTCCGGTGGCTAGAGGGAGTGCTGCAGGTTGAGAGGACTGGGCCTGTCATTCGTGACACTGCAGTGTGTGTATGGGAGGGATTGAAGAGGGCGCCACTGCTGGAGCTGTGACGGTTCAGACAGGGCCGATCAGCTTTGTGGAACTGGACTGATGAAACCCTGGAAATACAAAGAGTTTAATGAAAAAAAGGCACCAAAGAAAAGGTTTTAGGTCATGTGTAGTCCCTGTAATCCATGGGTTGTATTTTACAAAGATATGTTTTTTTGGTAAATTAACACAAATGTTTGAGTTCCAAGCAGCATACCTCTTTTTTATTCTGAAAAAAAAAAGTGTTTTAAAATTTTTTTTTAACAAGTTTTAAATCACATTGCAATCAATGGTTGTTTTGTGTGTTGGCTTTCGTTTAGATTGGTATCATTTGTAACTGGTATTATATAAGTGAGTAATATTAAAAACAAGACTGGTTTAACTATGTACACCTATCTGACAGACCTTAGAGAAACCAGCACCACGATAAAAATTTGATATTCTAATTACCTGACTAGGCCACGTGATGGCAGGTCCATGACAGGCCCAGCACCATCCTCCATCCCAATCTGCAGATGCTGACATTGAGGCTGCATTGTCAGCGCCTCAGGGATGGCCTCCAGCAGCTCACGGTGGCTCTTGGGGCAGCTGTCACGCCGTTCCTGCCTTTCGCATGGTTCACCCTGATGTTGCAGCCTGGCATTGTAGAGACGCATTCGCTTCTCCAGCAGCCTCTGGAAGTGCCTGAACTCCCCGGTGCTTACACTATAGAAGCCTGAGTCGCTGAGCTCTGAGGAAATGAAGGACTCTGAGGAAGGAGAGCCACCACCTCCAAAACCCCCACACCCTCCTGGGGCGAGGGCCCCATGTGAATGACAGTCCTCCAGACCTCCCTCCTCGGTCTCCAGACCTGAGAGGTCACCCTGGTGAAGGGAGCCATCTGTCCAGCCCAGACCACTGTCCAACTCATGGTGCAGGGGCAGGAAACCCATTGGCTTCTCTAGCATAAAATCCTCATCATCTGTCTATAAAAACAGGCAGGGTCAGTCCAGTGCATCATGACACCAAACACTAAAAATGACAACATGTTTTATGTTTTAAATGTGTGAAGAATCTCAGTAAAAAGTGAAACCTGGCTGATTGTGTCTGTAGAGTGAAAAACTGTTAAATACTAAAGGTAAGCATTGAGATCTGCTCTAATTCTCAGTTTATTCACTTGCCTTTTGTTCAGTTGTTTCCTGCTTTTAAAAGTTCCTGAGTGACGGTTAAATCAACATCAATGGCCAAAGAGGAAGGGTGCCAGTATTCTTTTTTGATTTTAACAAATCTAAACAAATTTAATCGTGTATGCCTGTAAATAGTGTTGCCAGTCTGTCTAGCATTGAACCACAAGCTCATATCGCCTAATATGAAAGAGGTGGATCTTTTATGTTTCATTAAAAAATAAAAATAGAAAAAAACCCTTAATGACTATTAAAAAACTAGCTAGTCACTGAAAATAAACACTACTAAAACAGAAAATATTTCCAGATAGTATAAGTTGAACTGAGAATAAATAATAGTGGGTGCATTTATGTTAATGAAGGAACGTGTCAGCCGGTGCAGCTGTGAGGCTCAATGACTCCATGACTGAAATGAGTAAGCTTTATTACTACTTGCACAGAGAGTACTAGCAAGTATAAGCAATTCATAATTGATTTAACAAACAGGGTTTGCATACTCGCCAGATATATGTTTAAAACAACAACGTTAACAATTTTATGGAAAAGCAGATTTTTACATACCTGACTGTGGCAGGCGTTTTGCTCTTCTAAGTTAGTACTGCAGCATCCCATCAGGCAGTTCTGTCCCTTTGATCGACGGCCAGCTAGTTCTAGATCCTGAGTAATGTAGGAAGTGACAGAAGAACATGAGAATGTGTAATACAATTTGTTACTGATTAAACTCATTCTTGGTCAAATCAGAAACTACAGTGTGAAGGTACCCATATATTGCAAATGAACTTTTACAAATTCATCCGCAGTGCAACTCTAGAATCACAGATGAGTGTGCATGAGGGTTGTTTTTTTGTTGTTGGTTGTTTTGGAAATCAAACTGTGATTAGAAATTAGAGGTGTAATTGGTAGACCATTTAATATTCCTTTCATGAGCTTTTTCAGCCATGTCAGCCAGAACAAAACAAAAAAACACGTGAGAGAAGCTTCTGAGCTGTGTTTTATGAAAATACGAAAATAGTAATAAGCTGTGCTATATGGCCTCATCGACAATCTGGATGCAAGTGTTCTGATGCACTTCTGTGTGTGTGTGTGTGTGTGTGTGTGTGTGTGTGTGTGTGTGTGTGTGTGTGTGTGTGTGTGTGTGTGTCTGTCTGTCTGTCTGTCTGTCTGTCTCTTAATATCACCTGGCGACCAATGTCCACAGTGTCCCGTGGGGAGCTAGACAGGTAGCTATACCGTCCGCCATCACAGTGATCTTGAGGCAGAGACAGGTGGTTGTAATAATGTCTGAAAGAGATGACAAGGACACAGAATTCAGACATTTTAAAGCAAAAATCCTGGAATTATACAGGTCCGAAGACACTAACGTTCTTCAAAACAAACATGGATAACGTTTCATTGGACAAGTGGGTATCCCCCTTGGAAGACGTAAGTAACGTTCCTTAACTTTCAGGCTGCATAACATGGTTATACATTTGTGTCTGTTTCACTGTATAGTCTGTTAAGTTGAACTTTGTCCCAGTTACTTAAATTTTTATTTTATTTATTTTTATTTCACACATTTAAAAAAATAACAACTGACTCTTACAATCAACAGTTCACAGACAAACTAAAGATGAGACTGCCGACAGTATGAGAGACGGGTGTAGTCACCATGACGGGATCAACTGGTCATGAAGTCTATTGTGACACCTCATCCTGAGTGTGTTTACATCACCATCTTGGTGTTTTGGAACCACATGTGACGGCATCTCAGGAACACCGCAATATATGATAGCGGCTTTGAAAATCCTTTGACTGTACTGTTGTCGATTAACAGCCAAAGACACAACGGCTAAGTAGTCATTCATGTAATCCTTGATTCTGACAGGCTTCTAGTTGAAGCCTGCCACCTGGGGCGCATGCATAATCATTGTAATCATTACATTGTACTCAACATGTGATAATGAAATTTATGTCACTCAGACACATGCACAAACACACAAACACACACACGTATATGTATACATTACAATGTAATCCCATTACATTTTTCAGTAATGCAGTAATTTAACTGTGTTATTTGCATGCTAGCACAAAGCTAGCCAAGAATCTAGAGTAATAAACCTATAGAGCTGAGTGTATGCTGACCCCAACCCAGCAGCCAGAGCCTGAACTTCAACAGGTAAATGATGGGCAGTCATGTTTACAGCCTCAGTTTCTACCTGTTCATGTTTTTACAAGAGAATCACTGTGACGATCGCTTTTAAGTCTCTTTGGGCTGGTTTTAAACTTTGCATTGTGTTGTCAGCTTTGTGTTTATGTTTAAATACTAAAGAAAGATCCCATGTGTATCCTCTTTAGGATAGGAGTTTGTGTTGGTATGTGAAGCTGTAGCCTCAGGTTTATATTGTTGATGGATAATTATGAGACAGCGTATTTTAGATCATTTTACAGAGTAATGAGAAAGTAATGAAATGAGTAGTGAAACAAATTACTTTCTCTAGCATAATTAAGTAATGTACTGCATTACTTTTAAGAAAAGTCATTTTCTGTGGTCTTTAAAAGTGGAATGATTGAATATTTACTGCTTTTGCTTTAAAAAAAAAAAACCCAAGAAGCATCCTCTTACTAAAAAAGTTTTTACATTTTTACAAATATCAGTAAAGCATTTAGTTTTCTTGTTCAATTAAACAGTTTCCAATCATCACTGCACAGGGATGCAGCAAACACTATAATTTATTTATGATACTGGCTCCTTTTAACTTTTCAGGGCATACAAGGATGTTTGCACAGTATAATGACATTGTTATTTAGTTGTTTAGTACAGTGTGGTCATAAGAAATCCGATGTAACTGCATACCGGCATTTCTTAAAATCACTGTGAGACAAAGTGGTTTTACAGCTCTTAACATTACATAACAAATCATATGTTTTATTACCTGTGTTGGTAAGAGGGACTAGAAGTGTTAAGGCCCGCCCCCATCAGAGGGAGGGGCAGATTGAGGTGCTTCAGGTCAAGGGGAAGGGGCTCCCAGGATCCCCTATCTGCCTCTGTGCCACGCCTCCTCTGGCCCTTGATCTGCATGGTGATTGGACGCTGATTGGCTGCCAGGATTCGCAGAGCATCCCTTTGGCTCAGGTGTGCTAGACTCCGCCCATTCATCTGAGGCAAACAGACAGAAGGGTTGTGATGTTAGCAAAGTTGCCTGCTGCTGAATTCATGTGACACAAAGCTCATTGAAGGACACATCAATCGCCACCAATGGACACATTAACATTAGCTCGATACTCTAATAATCCTGCCTTCATTAACTAATATAACCTTTGTATATGCTTAAGACTTAACAGAGTAAGTGTCTCATTTTTAACACGTCAAACTGTCTGATTGTAAATGTGAAATCTTCTGATAACAAAGGGTTTCCATCTCAATTATATATTTTCTAAACTTTAGAGCTCACAGGTGGGCTTGAGCCTATTTCAGGTGACACTTTGAGAGTGCAGGAATACACCCTGGGTCATCAGAGGGCTGACTCAGGAAAAGAAAAACAACTATTTCCACTCACATTCACAGGGACAACATGCAAACTGCATAGTGAAGTCCTGCCACCAATGGGTTAGAACAAAGCGCTCCAAAAGAACTATACTCAGCTACAGGTAAAAAAATAATAACCAGAGTAGTGGTTGGTTTTGATTATAAATACCAGCCTCAAGGGGAAAAAAGTGCCTACAGCTTGAAGAATAACTAGCATTACTCTTAGCTAGGGGTTGGTCAAAATAAAATATTTGTGTAATTCGTGCGTCATCTTTTTGGATTGGTTCTGACTCCTAGATTTTCTCCAGCAACAGAATTTTTTTAGTCCCTATGGTAGTGAGGTAGAACAAAACAGAACTCCACACTGCAGACAGTTGGTACTGTTAGTACGTGTCTTATTGTGGATTTATTTTTTCCTGATTAAATATAATACATGTAACAGCTGCTACATAGAACAGTAGCTATGGTTAATCCTTCACAGCCTGTGAAAACGGCAGGCCTTATGTGGCTCTGGAAGAACTTTGTCAAGTCTGAAAAATAAACCCTTGTGATTTTATTGCAGATACATGGCCTTAAGCTTAGAAACCACTAATGTGTAAATTGGACACCTGAGTTACAAACTGAGTGGGTGGTGTGGACTAAAGATGTGGCTTCTTGCCCTAATGACATGATAGAATTAATTGAATGATGAGGTTCTACAAACAAACATAATCTGGTAATGTGCTGTGGGAAAACTGCATTCATCAACATCACAATCAAATTTATGCTTGCCCGCTGCCATTTTAAATGCACTTCATGTAGGGTTTTTTTTTGTTTGTTTGTTTGTTTTGCAGTGTGAACACACTACAGACCACAAACGGACTCAATTTTTCAATATTACGCAACTAGGTCAGAAGACCCTCCGCCTGCAGAAAGATGGTAGTTTTTTTCCGGTATGCAACACCCAAACAGCTGAATTATGGCAGTTTAAAGGAAATATGAAAAATAGTGACATGGTATCCACGGCTGCTTTAAAGGGTTAATACCTTCAAGCAGCATCCTGCTTCATGCACACACACAAACACACACATACACTGTCACACACATGCAGCTCAGTGGCTATCGAATTAGACGCATGGATAGTATTGTTAACTCCAGCACATCACAACCATGAGTCACCCTCCTCTACATTCAACTGCACACTCACACACACACTAGCAAACAGGCACACGCGCACACACCATGAGCTGAGAAGCACAAAATGGCACCTGTGTGTGTAGCCAGAGGACGGCAGTAGTCTTCAGGAGATGATGAAGATGTTATACACACAACATTAAAAATTTGACACGCGTACAAAAAGTATTTAGATTTAATGCTGAAGAATTGGGTTTATCATCCATTTATAAACATGCGCACTCACACAAAAATGTAGTCTTGCAGAAATGATGATGCCTTTTTGCATCTGCACATACAGACACACAGACATGCACACGTACGCACGCACTCAAACCTGGATGTGAATGAAGCTTAATTCCATCTACTTTAATGAGACATCATAAAACACTGTTACAGCATTATCTGTAACAGTGAGGCAGGTATTTGGCAGCTCACCGTTTGGTCGCCCATCCACGGTCCAGAAAGCCAGCAGCCCATCGTCACGGTGACAGAGGACAGCTGCCTTGACTCCTATGAAAATCAACGACACTGCTGCTTCCTTCAGCAGATCGTCTCCTCCTCCTCCTCCTCCTCACGCTTTCTGTCTCTCCTCAGTGTGCCTTTCACTCTTGGTCTCTCGGCATCTGTCCCCTCTCCACTGTCCTCTTTTCTCTTCTGTGTATCCCTCTATCTATTTCTTCAGCGTTTCTATCCTTGCCCCTCCCCTTCCTTTACGGCTTCTGATTTTGGCATCCTGCACACACACAGACACGCTTGCATGCAACGCTGCAAACATAAAAATATGCGCAGGCTGACACAGTACATTTAGAGATGGAGAGGGAAACACGCAGTCACACTATGAGGATGGTGTCTGATTGGTAGTCTTTAAAGGATCATCAGCCAATCGGAGGCAGCATTTTCCCTGTGGATGTCTTCCTCTGTGACTGAAACTCCTCAGCAAAGCCTCATGCATAAGGCAGCCTCTACTGCAGCAATATACCCACAGTGGCAGAGGAGACACACCATCCAGACATCCATCTTCTTGCTGTTCATCCAGGATCCCCCAGTTGATGCATGCTGGGAGGTGTAGTGAATACAAAGTATACCGAGGTGGTATATGCTGTACAAGAGAGTATACTTGATTGCTTATAACAAGGGAGCATAGTTTACAGTATCCTGCGGTACTATAAATCGCATCCTACTCTATAGGATACATTCGCTTTATGAGTTTATACATCTTACAATTAAAAAAGCACACCAGAGTCATAGATGGCAAAAAAGTCGTAGTAGTGGTAGTTTGTAAATATATCAGCTAAAAAGAAATGGGTGAAGCTGAAATTAAATGTAAACTGTTAAAAAATAATAGCAGTTCATAGTATCAATATAAATGGCTAGATTTATTAGAATTATAACATTAAAAAGAACCAGCTTTAATAGCAGCGGGTGACAAATTTGAAAGGAAGGCAGAAAAAAAATGTTGAATAATAGAATAGAATAGAATAGAATAGAATTCAACTTTATTGTCATTGCACATGCACAGGTACAGGGCAACGAAATGCAGTTTGCATCCATCCAGAAGTGCTTTAGTGATATAGATATATTACAATATATATTAGCAATAATATAGATATGTGAGTATATTACAGAAATGGGTATATTATGGTATGTTATAATGTACACGGTATGAAGTATGTTGTGAATATTCTATAACTATAAGTATGTACAGGCTGTAGTGAGTACAAGCTATGTACAGGATATGAACAGGATATAAATATGAAAAACTATACAGAATATGAAATAAATAACTTTACAGAATCTGGGATATACAGCTATACAGAAATGGGAACTATGCAAGTTGTAAACAGTTGTAGGATTAAAGATTATCGAATGTACAGAATGATTATTTACACAGAGCTATACAGTAGTGCAGTTAAGATAAGTGAGATATAATTCCTACAGAGGCTATATAAAGTTCTAGTGGTTGTGAGTGGTGGTTCAGTCCATGTTATTATTGTGTGTTTGAGGGTATAGTTGTCCATTGTGGGTGTGTGTATGTTCAGTCCATGAGTTAACGTGGGTCAGATGTCAGGAGGCAGAGTTCAGGAGTCTGACAGCTGTGGGGAAGAAGCTGTTCCGGTACCTGGTGGTCTTAGTCCGGAGGCTCCTGTGGCGCCTCCCAGAGGGCAGGAGGGTGAAGAGTCCATGTGATGGGTGACTGGGGTCTTTGATGATTTTCCCAGCCCTTTTCAGACACCGCTTCCTGTAGATGTCTTTTATGGCAGGAAGTGGTGCTCCGGCGATGCGCTGGGCAGTTTTCACGACCCTCTGCAACGCCTTCCGGTCCGAGGCAGAGCAGTTCCCGTACCAGACTGTTATACAGTTGGTCAGGATGCTCTCGATGGTGCAGCGATAGAAGTTCACCAGGATGTCTGAGGACAGGTGGTTCTTCCTCAGAGGCCTCAAGAAGAAGAGGCGCTGGTGAGCCTTCTTGACCAGCTTGGAGCAGTTGGTCGTCCAGGTGAGATCCTCGGAGATGTGGACTCCCAGGAACTTGAAGCTGCTCACACGCTCCACAGCCGTCCCCTTAATGTGGATGGGTGGATGTGGGTCAGCATTCCTCCTGTAGTCCACGATGAGCTCCTTGGTCTTCTCGGTGTTAAGCAGCAGGTTGTTTCTGTCGCACCACTCAGCCAGACGATCCACCTCCTCCCTGTAGGCGGCCTCATCGTTGTCACTGATGAGGCCAATCACCGTGGTGTCATCTGCAAACTTAATGATGGTGTTGGAACCATCAGCAGGTCTGCAGTCGTGGGTGAAGAGGGAGTAGAGGAAAGTTATCGAATAAATGAAAAATGGTTAAATATTGAGGCTGAAATATAGCTGAAACGTATAGATTCTGCATTTAATGGGAATAGATAAAAAAGTTTGCCAAATAGCTCTATTGATTGATTTCATTGTGAAATGAATTGGAAAATGATTCAAAGCAATAAAAAAATAGTATCAAATTAATACATTTGGAATAGGACAGCAGGTGTGATGAAGCGGCGCTGGAGCTCATTTGCAGATTTTCATTTTAAAATGAATAAATAATTTATTTTTAATAATTATTTTTAAAAGAGAGGGACCTGAGCATAATCAGAACCAGTCTGTGAGGCCTGGCATCTATCCTGTACCAAATGTCTGCAGTTTTAAGTTATTGTGTAAGTGCAGCTAATAATACAGTGCCTTTTCTCTGATTAAAAACACCTATAGTGCTACACTCAGTTGTACTCACGAAAAGCACGACAAGTTGTTGCGTAACGAATTGAAAAAAATAGTGAGAGATTCACACCCAGCGTACAGTCACCACCTTCACACAATAGCCAATCATGTCGTGAAGTGGGTGTGAGTGTTAATTGTAATTTTTAGGAAGTTACAGAAATGGTCAGACAGAGTGTTGGAAGTGTCTCGAACAGATCCTGATCCAAGTGTATTCTAACAGAGGAAGATATTTTCTAAAACAAAACTGACAAAAAGTTCTAGCCCTTTTTTGTTAAGTCCTTTGCCTCAGCCTTCTTGTTTTGCATTGCCCTGCTATTATTTGCTACAATTTATCTGTTCAATCCAAGCATATTTCTACAAGCGAAAATCAGTGTGTAGGCAGCACATTGGTGTGGTGGTTAGCTTAACACCGTTGCCTCACAGCAAGGCACTCCTGGGGTCTAATCTACTCAAGGCCAGTCTGTGTGGAGTTTGCATGTTCTCCCTGTGTCTTTTTGGGTTTTCTGCAGGTACTCAGGCTTCCTTCCACACCTAAAAGATATCTAGTCAGTGTGGTTAAATTCGTTGGTGAGTGTGAATGGTCTCTGTGTGTTAGCCCTGCAACAGGCTGGCGATCCGTCCGGGGTGTATCTTGGCTTTTGCCCTATGGTGGTTTTTCAAATCTTAGTTGATATTTAATGGTTAGTCCAACAAAATTCCATTGCGGATACAAATTGTGGTAACTGTTAAATTACGAGCAATGTACGTTGAATGTGACACATGAAACAAACTTTATTCAATCAATTTAATCAATTTTATTTATAAAACACCAAATGATGACAACAGTTGCCTCAAGGCGCTCCATTTTTTAAGGTGCCCTATGATAATACAAAGAAAACAGAGAAACAACAGCAATGATATGACCTCATATGAGCAACCACTTTGGTGACAGTGGGAAGGAAAAACTCCCTTTTAACAGGAAGACACCTCCAGCAGAACCAGACTCAGGGAGGGGCGGCCATCTGCCATGACCAGTTCATGCATCATTGGAATACCCTAGTAGCATAAACCTATTGCAGTGTAACTAACTATAGGCTTTATGCTTTATCTGGAAAAACGAAAGTTTTAAGCCTAATCTTAAAAAAAGCGAGGGTGTCTGTCTCCTGAATCCAAACTGGAAGCTGGTTCCACAGAAGAGGGGCCTAAAAGCTGAAGGCTCTGCCTCCCATTCTACTTTTAAATACTCTGGGAACCATAAGTAAGCCTGAAATCTGAGAGCGAAGTGCTCTGATGCGGTACCATAAGGTCATTAAGATAAGATGGGGCCTGATTATTCAAGACCTTATACGTGAGGAGCAGGATTTTGAATTTGATCCTGGATTTCACAGGGAGCCATTGAAGAGAAGTCAATATAGGAGAAATATGCTCTTTATTTCTAGTCCCTGTCAGTACTCTTGCTGCAATGTTTTGGATTCTGAAGGTTGAAGGCCTGTGGTACATGGCCAATTATTATATGTAGGTTGATCATAATTAACATTGAAGCAATAATTAGTGGCAGGACTTCTTTGTTTGTGTACTTCTGTTTCTTGTAAAGATCAATGAACAAAATATTCAACAGATCTATAACCATCTGAATTTACAGACCACAGAAAGAATTTACATTCACAAATTGAATATATCTGAAAACGCTCTTTATAAAAAAATGTGGTGAGTTGACTTTAAAAGATATAAAACAAGAGTACAGTGCACTGTTGCTTTGCTTTTAGGCATGCATCTTTGCTTAAACATGAACTGTAAATATTAGTATGCCATCCAAAATATTGAGAAATTAATTTATTATGGTGCCATTACTGTATGATCATACTGGAACAAGCTATCTCTGCATTGCAGCACGGAAACAGTCCGGTGCTTTTTTTTTTCTGTCATCTAACTGGATCATTAGGTGGTGAGGTTGCTGACTTTTTTAGAAGTCAGCAACCTCACCACCTAATGATCCATGCACCTCAAGCATCTGTCTTTTACCTTAATATGATCTCAGCAGCCATTAGAAAACCCTTTTCAGCTCTTGCTTTAACACAAATTATTAAAACATGGTTACACAGTGACAACTGAGAAATTGATTTTCTCTATGTTTACTGTATTTTGTGTAATAGTGCCTTTCACACATGAACCCCTTTAATCTGATAGCAACTTAACATGTCAGTGTTCAGTCACTTTTACTGCAATCAGGAGTACACACCTTAAAAATTTTAATTAAAATAAATATCAGAATAATATGTTGCTTATATGTTGTTCTCCTTTCTACAGAGTATTAGTTTATTATCTCAGGCTTCATCTCTGATGCACAATGAAAATAAAATAATTTTAACAAACCGTGAAACTGGTGAGAACACCCTAAAGGAACTAGTCATACAGTTGCATACGGACAAATTAATATTTAGCAAAGCACATTGTATGCAGAAAGTGACAAGAAGGAATAAAACAGAACCCAAATTGACTGTCATGTCACTCAAAGTGTGTGCTATAATAAAGTTCAATGATGCAGCTGAATCTGTGAGAAGTCAA